GCCAGGATATTAGATATTTTGAATATCACTCTTGGATGGATGGTTTTGTATATAGTAATTGCCTTAATCCTCACAACATCAGCAAAGAAAATTTAATTATCTTCATTTTTTAGAAGAGTAAATTAATACTCAGGTTGGTTATAAATGTTACGTAGCTGTAAGTAGATGATCTGGGATGTTGGACTCAGCTCTGATCCCACATTCTCTCCATTCTATAGAGTTGCTACCTTTGAGGTAATTTTAATTGTTTCAAGTTAGGAAGTTTTCCTTTTTCATATCTATCTGGTAAGAATCTGAGACAAGAAGGAAGGTAGTGAATAGAATTATCTTTCAGGAGAGAAGACACCTTTGCTACTCCTCATCATTCCCACTGTGAGCTCTTCTAGGGATGGAGAGGAAACTGACAGGGCAAAGAAGGAGGAAGACAACAAGACTGCTCCTTCATAGTCCAGAGGCTTAGACACTGAGGCAAGACACTCCCACACGCTGTAGGTGACTGCACGGGCAGGCATACAGGGAGGGGACTGGCTGCTGGAGTGCCAGCCTGGGTGATGAGCCAGGCAGATGCCAGCCAGCTGTCTCATGGCCTAAGCCAGACCCAGAGTCCCTTATATAAAGACGGCTGTCTGCCCAAATGCCCCAGCCTGAATGACTGCTTGCCTGCAAGGAGGGTGAGTCTAGGAGCTGGATCCTGGGATTGGGGTGGGAGTGATGCTTGGGGGGTACCCAGATTCCCAGGGGAGAGGCACAGTGAAGGGAGGAGCTGGGAGCAGGGGAAGGGTGGTGCATCTGCCTAAGGAGAAAAGTTGGTGAACTTTTAGGGGGCATAAGAAGAATAGCTGTAGAATCTATGAGAGGAGCTAGGGCTGTGAAGTCAGTGTATTCGCCTTCGATAACCCTGGCCTCACCCTCAGGTACCATTTTCCCTGTTAGGACCTGCTCTTCCTGGAAAAGACACATTCTCACTTTTCACCTTGTGAGAAGAGGAATATGTATTTAGATATTCAATATAAATGGAAAACGGAAGACTTTGTCCTCCCTTAGAAGCTTTTTTGGAGCTTATTTAGAGGTGTTTTGTGGGACAAGCCAATTGTGAAACCATCCCCTTGCTTTGTTGGTCATTGGCTGCCTGTCCATGAACAGGTGGAGTTGGGGAGGGCAGAGGCGTGCGGCTGCCCTGGTTCCTCCTGGGCTAAGTGGTGTCCCACCAGGTCATGTTGGTAATATTCCTGCTGCATAGAGCTTTAAGTGTAGCTGAATGCCAGTCTTGTGACTTGGAGTCTCATGCTTTCTGGGTTACCTGTCTGAGATAACTCCATCTTGCCTCTAAGAGGGCTGGGGAAAAACATTTCCAAAGCCCGCAGATGGTCACACTTCAGGTGGTTAACAACAGCGACCTGTCTGGGCAAGTTGCCATGGTGATCCTGAGCCTTTTCGAGTCTGACATGTTTTGTATGGGCATGGTTTTACATGAATTCATCTAAAAGAGATTGAATATATAGAAAAAATATTTAATGTTGAGTTCGAGTTGCCCAACAACTGACATTATGCGAGTGCAGATGGTGCCTGAGTGCTTGTTTCCACATAGACATTTTTACATGTTTGCATATATATGTGTACTGCCAGTGCATGTGTAGGAGGAAATACAAGCCTCTGTGGGAGGGGAGTCCCCACTTTGGGCTACAGCCTTGGGAGCAAGATGTCACCTCTACTTCCTGTAGATCTGTTGCCACCGCTTAGGATGTGGGACAGTGTGGACCGTCCTCTTGTCATCAGCACTCACTGGTTCTGGACACTGGGTTTTCCACCCTCCAGGGAAAGGTCCTGGGCACCTGCAACCATAGCTGTGCATGGTCAGGCCCTTCAGCAGAACCAGGGCAGGTCTAATGGGCTCGTCCTGGGTCTGGCTCAGGCAGTATGGATTCTCGGATGAAGGCTGAGGGTGGGGGAGGAAAGGCAGGAAGTCACAGAGTGCCTTCACCTAGGTCCTGGTCACCTCCCCACTCTCACCCTCCTGCCTCTGGTCTCTCCACCCTCAGGTCCCACTCACCCACCCGCATCAGGACCATGTGTGACCAGCAGCAGATTCAGTGTTGCCTGCCGCTCCCACAGTGTTGTGTCAAGGGTTCCTCTTTCTACTCCTCTCAGTCCCCCTTTGCCAACAACCAGGTGGTGGTTCAAGCCCCTTGTGAGATGCAGATCGTGGAGTGCCCTGCACCATGCCCAGTTCAAGTTTCCCAGGCTCCATGCCAGGCTCCAAGCCAGTCCCAGACCACGAAGGTGAAGGGCCAGTCTAAGACCAAGCAGGGGAAGGGCCAGGCTCCAAGCCAGTCCCAGACCACCCAGGTGAAGGGCCAGGCTCTGTCCCAGTCTCAAGTTTCCTATGTTCAATGCCAGGCTCCAGGCCAGTCTGAGGTTTGCTACCTGCAATGTGAAGCCCCACAGCCTGTTCAGACTTGCTATGTAGAATGTTCTCCAGTTTGTTGTACAGAAACTTGTTATGTGGAAGGCCCAGTCCAGACCTATGTACCCTACCCAGCTCCTCAGTCTGTCCAGACTTATGTGGAACGTGCCCCAGTGTGCCAGACTCAGGGAAGATTCTCTACCCAGGGCCAGTATCAGGGTTCCTACAGAAGATCCACCCCCCAGTTCCAGCAGCGGGCTTCCTACAGCAGCTGTGCCCCCCAGTTCCAGCCACGGGCTTCCTACAGCAGCTGTATCCCCCAGTTCCAGTCACGGGCTTCCTATAGCAGCTGTGCCCCCCAGTTCCAGCCGCGGGCTTCCTACAGCAGCTGCGTCCCCCAGTTCCAGTCACGGGCTTCCTATAGCAGCTATGCCCCTCAGCGTCAGTCCCGGGCTTCATTTAGCACTTGTGTGCCCCAGTGCCAGACCCAAGGCTCCTACGGGAGCTTCACTGCAGAGCGCAGGTCTCGGAGCACCAGCAGATGCCTCCCTTCTCGCCGGCTGGAGCCTTCTCCCCGCAGTTGTTCCCCACCACGACGTTCTGAGCCCTACTACAGCAGCTACCTGCCATCGCGATCCTCTGCAGGTTACCCTAACTACTGCACCCCACCCCGCCGCTCTGAACCCATCTCTGCCAGCCACTGTCATCGGGGCCCCACTTCAGACTGCTCTCAGAGATGCAGACCCAAGTGCCGTATAGAGATTTCCTCCCCCTGCTGCCCCCGGCAGGTTCCCCCACAAAGGGGTCGTGTTCAAATTCCTCCCATCCGACGCCGCTCCCAGAGCTGTGGCCCACAAACCTCCTGGGGTGCCTCCTGCCCAGAGCTGAGGCCACACATGGAGCCACGTCCGCTCCCAAGCTTCTGTCCACCACGGCGTCTTGACCAACACCCAGAGCCATCACTGCAGAGATATCCATTTCCTGCTCCACGTCCACGTCCACGCCCAGAACGATGCGCAAGTCCAGAACTCCGTCCGTGCCCTCCACCAAGGAGACTTTCAGAGCCTTGTTTGCGCCCAACACCACTTCCAGCACCACGTCTAGCTCCACGTCCAGCTTCCCGCCCTCGCCCAGTGCAGTGTGAGATTCCAGGGCCACGACCATTCCCACAGCGCTGTCAGTCCCCAGAGCCTCATCCACGGCCAGAGCCAATTCCTTTGCCAGCGCCCTGCCCAAGCCCAGAGCCGCTCGGGGAGCCTTGGCACTATCCCAGCCCTTGCCCCAGCCCAAATCCAAGTCCATGCCCAGGAGACCTAGGCTGTCATGAGTCTAGTCCACGCCACCTAGACACCGAGGCTCCCGGCTGTGGCCCATCCAGTTGTAACCAGGGGCAAGAGAGTGGTGCTGGTTGTGGACCTGGTGATGTGTTTCCAGAACCACAGGGTCAGGGAGGTTGTGGAGACCAAGGCAATACCTGTGCTGGGGCCAACGGTGCCTATTTTTAAAGAAATGTGGCTGAGATGCCCCACCTCCTGCTCTGAAAATGTTGCTCCTCCTGCCACAGTTGCCAATGTCTCTCCAAGGACATTCAGAGATTCCCTGCTCCAGAGGTGATTTCCAAACACCTTTGCACATCATCTGAGGATCCTCACCTGGGTCTCAGACACCTCTCCAGCCTCACATCTGACTCCTCCCCTGAACATATCCTCAGTTCTAGCCAGACCGGTCTGGCCACCAGGGCATATTTTGGGTGTTCCCCAGGACATACCTTATGTGTCCCTGCCTCCAAGCTTTGGCTCATCTTTCCCCCTCTGCCTGGACCACTTCTCTCCTACTCCCCAGCATCTGAAATCTAACCCATCTTTCCATGACTTTTCTTTGGAGCCTTCTTTGCTTGTCCCTACCCATGGGTGCCTGCGCCTTCCTAGAACTCACTGCATCCTCTACACCATCCACTTGGCAACAGCCTTGTGACATCTCTTGGATTATTTCACTTTTAGGTGTGTCTGCCTTACCTGCCCAGCTAAATTACAAACTCCCATTGAGTAGAGTCAGACTATCCCTAAATTTCAGTGCCTATCCTGGGAAGGCAGCTTCTTAGCAAGGTTTGTGGGTTCACAGCTTGAGCCATGTTCTGTCCTGAAGGGCAACTGCAGGAGTTGAGAGAAGAGGAGGCCACTTGACAATAAAGATCATGATGTACCCTCAGCCTGAGTCTGGAGTCATGCTTGCTTTTTATTCATCCCTGACTTGCTGACTTGAGTTTTTTGTTTTGTTTGTTTGTTTTTTTAATTGTGATAAAATACATGTACCATAAAATTTAACATCTTAACGATTTCTGAGTGAACAGGTCAGTGGCACTAAGTACATTTACATTATTGTGCTACCATCACCACCATCCATCCACCGAACTCTTCATCCTGCAGGACTAAACCTCTGCACCCATTAAGTAATAACTTCTCGTTTCTCACTCCCCCTTCCCCCTGGCAGCCACCATTCTACTTTCTGTCTCTATGAATTTGGCTATTCCAGGTAGCTCATGTAAGTCAATCACACAGTCTTTGTCCTTTTGTGATTGGCTTACTTCACTTAGCATAATGTCCCCACAGTTCATCCATATTGTAGCATATGCTGTAATTTCCTTCCTTTTTAAGGATGAATGATATTCCATGGCATGTGCATACCACATTTTGTTTATTCATTCATCAATGGATGGATGGACACTTGAATTTCTTCCACTTTTTGCTTATAGTAAATAGTGCTGCAATGAGCATGGGTGTGCAAATACCCCCTTGAGTCCCTGATTTCGATTCTTTTAGATAGCTATCCAGAAGTGAGATTGCTGGATCATATAATAATTTTCTTTTTACTTTTTTGAGAAACTGAAATACTATCTTCCATAGTGGCTGCACCATTTTACATTCCCACCAACAGTGCACAAGTCCTAATTTCCCCACATCCTTGACAACATTTGTTATTTTCAGTTTGTTGTTTTGTTTTGTTTCAATAATAGCCATCCTAATGGGTATGAAATTGTGTGAGTTTTAATTTTAATTTATTACTTTTCCTCTTGGGTTTATCGTACCCATGCTCTAAGCCTTCCTCAGCCTAGACCAAGTGGGTTGCCTTGTGGGTTTTCTAGCTCCCCTCAATGTCCCTGGCCCCTGCTGGAAAGGATGGAGGAATAGGCAAAGGGAGTGAGGGAACGGGGAGGATAACTCTTGCTCCCCAGTCTCGGAGTAAAGGTCTTCAGGCCTGGATTTGGCAGTCACCCAGCTCTAGGGCTGCAGTCACAGCCATGTTACCTCTGGAACCAGAGAAAGGGGAGAAAGTGTCTGAGCCTGACTCTTCCTTCCTCAATTGCTTAAAAATTTTCTTAGGCATGGGCAGTCTTGGCAGCATGGAGGTAGGGGTCGAGGGGCAGGACAGACAGAGGTACCTCTTCCTCCTACTCCTTACAGATGAGATGCATGCATGTGGCTTCGGGGTGGCAGGGTGAGTGTCCAGAGGACAGGCCCTTCCTCAGGGAGCTGGTGCCCTGAGGCCATAGTGGTCTGTAGAATATGAAGGGCTCCTCTTAGGAGGATGACAGCAGGAGATGGCTCTGGCCTGGGCCCCTGAAGGCCTGAGCCAGTGCCTGCCTCCTCACAGGCCATGTCCCAGAGGACCCTGTAGCTACAGAGCCATAGCTGGGAACCACAGACCTGGGCCCTGGCTCTGAGTATGCCTTTGCCTTGCCCAAAGTGTCTAGTTCTGCAGTATCTGTGGTAGAGACCCCAGAGACCATCTAGCAAAACCCTGTGTTGTAGAAGGGAAAACTGAGCCCCTTAGTGTGAAATATATTCATTCATGCATTTATTGACAAATATTCATTGCTGACATGCTAGAAAGGCACTGGTAAAAGGGACTTACACAACCTTTGTTCGCTCTCAGTGTACAAACTAATACACTGGTTCTTGAAGTATGGTACCCAACGGGCAGCATCAGTGTCACCCAGGACCTTGTTAGAAATGCAAATGCATCACTCACCCCAGACCTAATGAAACAGAGATTCTGGAAGTAAGGCCCAGCAAGCTATGTTTTAACCAGCGCTCCTGGTGTATCTGTAGCTGATGCCCAGTAAGATTTGGTCACCACTGGTTTAGTGAAATGCCTTATGCAAATAGAATATGAATATATGTATTAATATATAGTATGTATGGATGTGTGCATGCACATGTTTCTATCTATCTATCCACACACGTGTCTATCTCTCTGCATCCTCTAATTCCCACAACAGCCCATCAGGCAGGCATTGTCATCCTTCCATTTTGCAGAGCAGGAAACCTAAGCACACAGGATGTAAGTGACTTGCCAAAGCCATGCAGTGAGACCTGACTCCCAGGCCACACTCCTTTCTGCCACACATGGCACCTTTGATCTCAGTCACAGTCTCTGCCTCTTCCAGAGATCTTTCCTGTATTTACCCAATTATTTTCCAACACAATCTTGGACTTCTTTCAATCACTGAACAGGTTCTTTTCATCATTTCCACATGTGTCTCCTCTTTTAAAACCCAGGCAGCCCTAGGACTATCTCTGCTCTGTGACACATCCCCTCAGGGGCCTGGCAGCACCAGATTCAGCCTCACAGAGAACCCCTAGGTCCCCATCACCAGGCCCCTGGGTAGAGAGAGGCTTGGAAGCCCCAGATGGGGGAAGGATTCTTGTTATGTGTCCCCCCACCCCCGACCATTCTCTCAAACACACTGCTAGACAGGGAACCCCTGGGGTGGTAGGGGTAGACCATCCCTTCAAGATACAGAAAAAACACACAGATGACTGTGAGAAAATGGAATTCACTCCTAAGAAGCCCCAACTTCCCCAGGGAACAGGTCACCACACAGGGTTTTCTTGAATGAGCAATGTTCCCTACCCTGCACTGCCCTCTGGGGATAGACTCTGGATCCCAGGATAACATCATCCAATCCAGATATCTGCCTGGATGTGACGGGATGGGATGACGACAGAATAGAGAAGTGTCTGGGTGAGCCAGGCTAGAGCTGAGTCAGGAAGCCCCCATGGCCAGGTGCTCCCCCAGAGCATCTGTACAGCTGGAGACAAGCACCCCAGAGGAAAGAGCACACAGGAGTGTGTGCATCTATGTTTTGCATGTCTCTTTGTGTGGACCTATGTGTCTGTATATATCTGTCTATGTACTTTAGAAGCTCAGGGCTTTTAAAATACACTTGGCAGTGGGGGCTGTGACCTCAGGAGCATGGTTTGAATATCCTGTACTCATTCGGCAGTAGCCCAATGACCCTTCCCCGATGGCCATCTCTCCTGCTCCCCATCACCCACCATCTTGCTGAAATGATGACTTGCCTCCTTCTCTCTGCCCTTTCTTTCTGTGTCAACCATTTGAACAAAACTTAAATTGTCTCCAGGACCAGGGCTGAAGACTCAAAGGAGCAAAAGCGATAATTTATCAAGCTCTTCAAGGTGCTCAAAAACTCATCAGAGAGACTTCTCTTTGAATCTCACACTAACGTTAGAAAGCACACAGGTTGCGTAGCATTGTTTCTGTTTCAGAGTTTGGTGGACCATTGCCTAGAAATACCCACGCATTGGCCAAGTCACAAACACTACAAGGCAGACACCAGGCCAGACTCCTGTGCCTGACACCCAATCGTGCGGCCTCAGAACAAGGAGGACCTGGCTTCCAGACAGGAGGACTCATTGGTCCAAGTGAATAGAAGAGCCTCTAAGACCAGGCTTCTCACCTTAGAATCCACTTACATCTCTCTACAATTCTCTATCCTTTTACTCTTTCTAAACCTCCTGCCATGGAATCTTCACTATAGCATGAAGGAATTGCACCAGATGTTCCCAGAGATCCACAATTCCACTTAAATATAGTGGCAGGCACCATATTTAAGTGAACTTACCTGGGGCACTCACTTAAAGACACGGAATCCAAGGTCCATCTCGGACCTACTTAATTTGTATTTCCAGAATGAGAACTCATTTGAAAATTCTGATCAGTTGGAGGTGAAAACTCTTGCTATAATTAATACCCAGATGTATGAGCTTACTCAATACATAGAAGGAGAGTTGAAACTGAACGTATTTGGCCACAGCATGAGTAGGATTTGCACATGATGGTGAAAATGGAGCTGTTCACTGGTTTTTGTTTGTGCTCCCACAAAATTGTATGTAATTTCCCTGTATGTGGAGTCAAGTTTTCCACTCCTCAATCTAGAAGCACCTTAAGATGAAGGAGTCTCTTTCTTTCTCTCAGTTAAATCCCCAACTTCACTGCCACCAAAAACAGCCAGAATGGGCCTCTGTGTTTGGCTGAGTGAGATGGAGTCTGGCATGTGTTACAGATACCTTTACTGAGAGATGGGGGCCTAGCTATGGTATATCTCCCCTTTACCCAGGCATTTCCTGAACATTAACTGAGAGAAATTCCACATCCCACGGTTTGTCCTACAGGGTATAATATCCTTGAACATGTAAGCAAA